TCTTTGCTTGCATTTTCGCAATTTCCTTATTCCTTTTTATTTCGCTTTTAAGTAGGACTTCTACGTTGCATTTTCGCAACGCACTTATTCCGCTTGCCCTGATTTCCGCATTTTCGCAATAAAGTGAATTGCGCGGTCGCTCGGGCTTCGCGCGTGGCTTGCGTTGTCAGCGCGTCGCTCGGTCAACGTTCGTAACGTGATCTGTATTCGCGTTACACGTTGAGCAATGTATAAAATAATATATCTCTAAAATAATATACTGGGTGTAACTAAACAAACGCATATGGATAATACTATCAGATACAGAACAACAATTCAAATCGAAAAGTTGTAACGGGTGTACTTTTTATGAGCTCGCGGATTCGCTCGGTCGTGATCAGGGCTCGTAGAAAGTATTGAGACACGCGATGTAATTTAAAATATAAAGAAAGGTTACTTTATTAGCCTCTATCGGCGTGGAATAATAATACAGCAATGCGTTACTGACGGGGCGCGGCTGTTATCAATTACGCACAGGCGCTGATTAGCTAACTTTAACATCACATAACAACGAAAAGAAAGCTCAGATCAAAAAATGGTTCAGGACTTTTCGATTTGAATTGTTGTTCTGTATCTGATAGTGTTGTCCATATGCATTTATTTAGTTACATCCTGTATATCTAGTAATTCGTGTATAGCCTTTTCGGGCTATAACATCCCTCCCCCGTAAAAAAAAGAAAAACGGAGGTGTAAAAGTGACGTTTTTTCGTAAAACAAACAAAATTATCTTTTCTTATTCTAATGTACAATATTTTTCCCGTATATAATATAAGCGTATTTTGCTATAAAAAAACTTATACAAAATAGTGTTATTTTAATTATTTTAATACAAAAACACTGTCACATCCAAACTAAAAAACTGTTTCACAAAATAGTTGTTTTAATTTTTTACAAAAATAATGTGATATATAATAAAAATATTGCGCCAACTTGTAACAGCAGGGCCGTTACTACGGGCATATATTGTACGTGCGCCCAAATATATATACACATACCCGCACGGCTTGCTTATTTCACCTAGTTCTACCTGTCCTACCGCCGCCATCTTGCTTGCCGCATGCGCTCCCGCTCTCGACATACGCTATCTCGCTTCACATGCGCTCTCGCTCACCGGCACGTTCGATATCTCTCGCGGAGTCCCCACGCGGTACCGACTCCCACCGCCGGTCCGACGGCGTACAGTGGGGGACACCGGCCGGGTATATAAGCCCGGCCGGCCGAGACATCGGGACCAGATCCTATCCCGACCAGCTCCTGATACCGATCTCACCACTACCTATCACCTCTTAGGGCAGAGGTTGTACTCAGCCCAGCCGGGTTGAACCGGCACTCTATACCTCGGGCCAAGGTTGCACTCAGCCCCGCCGGGTTGCACCGGCTCCTGCCTACCTCGGGCCGAGGGTTGAGACCCTGCACGCTGTATCTATCTTTCTCTAACTAAATAAAGTATCGTTTCTACCTATACTGTGTCTCGTAAGCTTGAGTCTCCCCTCCTCTCGAACCCGGACACCGACGAGCCGATCCGAGCGTCGAGCGATGTGACCGCGTTACATGGCGCCCGAACAGGGACCTGCCCAGTAGAGACTCCAGCTTGCGTGCGCAGCCCGATGAAAACTTCCTGGATATATTCACTTACAAAAGTCCAGCTCGTGACTCTTCTAGTCAACCACGGTCTCAACAGTACCCGGAATATCGACGCGTTGCGACATCGAATGCGAAATTTCGTAACCCAGAACCCCGCGCTATTTCCCGAACCCGACGCCGCCGACATGCCGAACAAAGAAGAAACAACGCCGGTACGGCCCGAGCCGACCCTAGACCATGCCGAGCCAAACTCAGACCATACCGAGCCGATCCCCGTCCGTACCGAAACGACTATACCCGATCCGACCGCAATGCTAGATCGAATCCGAAGGTGGGGCCTATGCTTCGAAGGCAAGGATCCATTCGCGTTTATAGAACGGATAGAGGAGCTAAAGCGATCCTACCGTTACGCCGACGAATTCCTCCTCCTCTGGTTACCGGAAATGCTACGCGGAAACTCCTTGTTGTGGTACCGCAACAACCACGAAGATTGGACCACCTAGGATGCCTTTTGCGCCGCCTTCCGACTAAAGTACCTCCCGCCCGACTACCAGGACCAAATGCGGCAAGATGCCCAAGCACGGAGGCAAAGACCGGGGGAGTCCTTCGATCAGTACGCCACAGACCTACTAACAATGATGAGGCGCGCCGGGGGCTACCCGCCACGAGAGAAGGCCCGTCTACTATATAACAACCTACACTCCAGCTACCAGCTGTACATTCGGGCGGCAGAAGCCACCAGCGTCGCCGAGCTAAGCGCCCGAGCAGCCGAGCACGAGAAGGTCCTAAGCCGGCAGGAGGAGCAACCACCGGCCCGCAGTATGCCCAGCTCACCGGTCGCCGCCGCCACATACAGCCGGGAAGAGTGTTGCTGGCGCTGCAAGCAGAGAGGCCACACGCGGCTTGACTGTAAGAGACCGCCGCGCAAGTTCTGCTCTCGCTGCGGCCGAGACGAGGTGCTCACCCGCGACTGCCATCCACTGGCGGGAAACGGCTTTCGGGCCGGGGAACCAGCGGCCACCGCCCGACCCGCTCCAGCCGAATAATTCACATCTAGGCCGCATATAAAGATACGAGTGCTCGACCGACACATATGGGCACTGTTGGTCTCCGGCTCCGAAGTCTTATTTGTAAGCCCAGCTACGGCAAAACGCGCAAAATACTGCGGCTCCCCCCCCCCTCGTGAGGTAACCCAGCAGATCAACTTAGCCGACGGCACCACGGTACCGATTACGCAGACCGTAGACCTGCCCGTCGCCACGATCGACCGCACAGTAGTACATCAATTCCAAGTCATGCCGAATCTTAGCGGACCAATGCTGATCGGCATTGACCTATGGGCCAAGCTCGGAGTAGCCCTCCCAGCACCTCCAACCGCCACCACCCGCGCGGTGCCCATCGTAGAGGAAATTTTGGCCGGACTGACGCCCCAAACTCCCGACGAAGACAAACAGCTAAAGGAATTCCTGCGCCAGGAGCTAACCGCGTTCGAGAATGTGCGCGGGCCAACAGACCGCATGGAGCACCGGATTCGCCTGACCACCGACCAGCCGATTAAATAGCGCTACCGACCGCGCAACCCAGCCATGCAGGCCGTCATCGACCAAGAGGTCCAAAACATGGAAGAAGCCGGTGTTATCGAGCCATCACAGAGTGCGTGGAGCTCCCCGGTCGTACTGGTTAAGAAGAAGGATAACACCTACCGATTTTGCATCGACTTCCGAAAACTCAACGACGTGACGCAGAAGGACGCCTATCCGCTGCCACACATTGCGGCCACACTCGACAAACTTTGAGGCGCAAAGTACCTGACCACGCTGGATCTCAAGAATGGGTACTGGCAAGTACCATTGGCGCGCGAAAGCCAGCCGGCCACGGCGTTCACCGTCCCAGGGAGGGGACTAATGCAGTTCCGGAGGATGCCATTTGGGCTGCACTCGGCCCCCGCCACCTTCCAACGCCTCTTAGATTCAATCCTCGGGCCCGAACTAGAGCCGCACGTCCTCGTGTACTTGGACGACATCGTCGTGGCCAGCGCCACGTTCGAGGCACACTTAGAACACCTAGCCGAGGTGTTTCGGCGCCTGCGAGCCGCGAAACTCCGGCTCAACGTGGACAAATGCCACTTCTGCCGGGACAGCCTGCGATACTTGGGCCACCTTATCGACCGCCGCGGAATCCATACCGACCCCGCCAAGGTGAGCGCCATCGCCGGGTGGCCCACGCCCACTAGTCTCCGGCAAGTACGCCAGTTCTTAGGCCTGGCGTCCTGGTACCGACGTTTCATCGCGGACTTCTCCACCATCACCGCACCCCTGACACGCCTAACCCAGAAGAACGCACGGTGGACCTGGACCGCCGCTGAGAACGAGGCCTTTCAACGCCTTAAGACCGCCCTGACAGCCGCCCCGGTGTTCGCATGCCCGGACTTCGAGCGACCATTTACGTTACAGACAGACGCCAGCACGCACGGGCTCGGAGCCGTGCTTATGCAACAACTCAACGAGGGCGAGCGCGTGATTGCCAGTAGGGGAGTATGGCCGGTTCTAACCCACCTTGCTTTGGAAACTCCTCGTAAGAGTGAGAGAGTAAACATGCGGATAAAGTGAGAAACTTAGATATCTGAGGGAGGCATGTCGGGCAGGGGAGAAGAAAAGGGGGAGTACGTATGATGAGAGGGGAAGCGGGGTTGAGGGGGGGTCGGAGAAGCCACGGAGCTCGAGCTGGGCGAGAGGGGTGAGGGGAAGGGGGGTGATGAAATCGGGTCGAGAGATCGCGTTATCGCGTCAGATGCGCTAAGGACGCGAGACGCGGTCTACGCTTTATCTCCGACCTTGGGAGTCGCGATGACCCGTGACACGTAAATACGATAAATCGAAGACGACGATATGAGAGAATATCGCGGGCGGCGAACCTCGGCGCGATACGAGAAGCGCTTGTCATCGTTGTAATAAAATATCGCGGGCGAACCTCGGCGCGATACGAGACTCGTCGCGCGTACCGCGTAGATCTAGAAATAGATCGATGGATAGGTCAGGGTATTGCGTGGTTATAGCGTTGAAAAAACTAGCTGTCGTAGCTAAAAACTGCGCATGGTAATTAGACTTCAGTCGTAATATATGAACAACGAACATCTCGTTAACCGAGATACCTATTTATTACATAGGCGAAACAGCGAACATCTCGCGATTAGCGGTGATACTCGTTTATTACGCGCAACAGCAAACTCTTTATAGTTTAGGAATGTATCGTGCAAATCGTGATTAGCGACGGTAGCGAAAATTTTTCCATAAAATCTAATGGACGGAGGTCGAATAAAGAGAAGTTTTCGAAGGAGAGCGTTTTTATTTGTAACAGTACAGAGATACATTAACGCGTTAGGATTCTCCGAAGAGCAGAGCCTGCAGTTCGCAATCGATTATATCGTTGCGGTCGAAGTTCTCGCTGTCGCGTATCGCCGTCGGAATAAGCGTTCGATCGCGGACATCGGCCGCGATATCGAGAAAGCGCGTTAGCTTGTTATCGATGTATCCGGTTAAACCGCTCAAAGTTGTAATGATGCGGTTGATGCAATGCTCCAAGTTTAATATATTTAGCACGGTGCTCCTCGATGCGACTAGACGATCCTTAGGTGTTTCGAGACGGAGTATTCGAAGATTGTTAAGTTTGCCAAATCGCAACGTTAATTGTCCGATATATATCGGGGCTGGAGGGCGCATCTCCTCTCGCTCGTCGCGCTGAAAGTACGACGTAAGCACGGATCGCAGATCGAGCAGTTCCTTCCACACATCCGGCGCAAACGAGATCTCTTTGCCGTGACAATTTCCGAGGACGACTTCCACGTAAGAGGGTCGGCTGACGTTAACACCGACTTCGAGATGTTTGTACGCCGTTTTGGTCAATAGATAGCATCTTCCTAAGATTCTAAGCGATCGTCCAATCGCGACGTCGCGTCT